TTGGGTAGATAGAAAGATTAACCTAAATAATCTATACAGAAGCCCCTGGAACCCCATAAAATTGGGTCCCTAATCCATGGACTATTGGAACTCCTTTACAAAACTTTTCTTACACATTACATGAATATATTGTTTCATACTATAGAATTATAATCCCTATTCCATAATGAGATATCTTTGAGCTATAATTTATCTTAATTAAAACTATCTTTAGATAAGTTTTTTCCTCAAAAAGCATTTTATCAAAAAATGATTTTTTTAATTAAAAAAATAATTGACTTTTATCCACCCTGCCCCAAAGGCAAGGGGATTTGAAGACCTTTGTTTACATTTCATCTGAAGAGATGATACTTTAGGACTTTTGGTTGTAGCTTGTCCACAGACAAGTTCCCTACTTTCCCTTTGAAAAATCACCTTTAACTTGCCCTCACTGTTAAGAAGGTAAATTCCAAACAATAAAACATAAACATATACTGTATGAGTCAAGGCTGCTGTGAGACCTTGATTTTTGCATTTTCCGGTATATTAGTTCCTAACCTTAGTGTTGCAAAAAACCTGTGTAATGCAATTTAGAATCACAGAATTGTAGGACCTCAAAGGTCTTCTAGACCAGTCCCCTGTACTCAAGGCAGGACTAAGTTCTAGAACATCCTTGACAGCTGTTTGTCTAACTGGCTCTTAAAAATCTCCAGTGATGGAGATTCCACAACCTCCTTAGGCAATTTATTCCAGTGCTTAACCACCCTGACAGTTGGGAAGTTTTTCCTAATGTCCAATCTAAACTGTCCTTGGTACAATTGTAGGCCTGGGCTACACTAGCAGGGAGGTTCAAACTAAGATACGCAACTTCAGCTATGCTATTTGCGTAGCTGAAGTCGAAATATCTTAGTTCGACTTACCTGGCTGTCCTCACGGCGGTGAGTTGACCGCCGCGGCTCCCCCGTCAACTTCGCTTACTCCTCCTGCCGAGGTGAAGTACAGGCATCGATTCGGTGATCGATTTATCACGTCTCATCTAGACGCGATAAATCGATCCAATACATCGAACACTACCTGCCAATCTGCCGGGTAGTATAGACGTACCCTAAGCCCATTGCTTCTTGTCCTATCTTCAGAGGTTAAGGAGAACAATTTTTCTCCCTCCTTCTTGTAACAACCTTTTATGTAATGGAAAACTTCTGTTTCCCCCCCTCCCCCCTCATTCTTCTCTTTACCAGACTAAACAAACCCAATTTTGTCAATCTTCCCTCATAGGTCATGTTTTCTAGACCTTTAAACATTTATGTTGCTCTTCTCTGGACCTTTTCCCAATTTGTCCACATCTTTCCTGAAATGTGGTAACCAGAACTGGACACAATACTCAAGTTGAAGCCTAATCAGCACAGAGTAGAGCGGAAGAATTACTTCTCGTGTCTTGCTTACAACACTCCTGCTAATACATCCCAGAATGATGTTTGCTTTTTTGCAACAGTGTTACACTGTTAACTCACATTTAAGTTGTGGTCCACTATGACCCACAGATCCCTTTCCACAGTACTCCTTCCTCCGCAGTCATTTCCCATTTTGTATATGTGGCAGCTGATTGTTCCTTCCTAAGTGGAGTACTTTGCATTTGTCCTTATTGAATTTAATTGTATTTACTTCACAGCATTTCTCCAGTTTGTCCTTTATTTTGAATTTTAATCCTATCCTCCAAAGCAATTGTAACCCCTCCCAGCTTGGTATCGTCCACAAACTTCTCTGTGCCATTATCTAAATCACTGATGAGAATATTGAACAGACCCAGACCTGATCCTTGTGGGACCCCACTCGTTATGACCTTCCAGCTTGACTGCGAAACACATGTGCACTCCCTCCAGGTCTTCACCTGAAGAGCCTTTGGAAGCATCAGTTGGGCAGTACTACTTGCAGGTGCATATTACACTTGTGCCCCAGATGCTGCAAAGGCTTATGATGTATTTTTAAATACAATTTAAGGTATTGGCCTCATAACACTTGTTTTTTGCTTCTATTAGAAAATGCCTCACTCTGAAGTGCCATAGGAGTTGAGGCCACCAATCTTTGCCTAAAGTTTGGGGGATTGGTTTTCAGTGACGGACCCTCAACTTCTCCCCTGTAGCACAGATACACTCTTAGTCATAAAGAGCAGGTTGATGACTTGCAGGGAAAGCTGGAAACCCTGTGTTGGAGGTGCTGAGTTGAACAGGAGAGGCTGACAGTATTAACTATTGGCACTGGCCAACTTGAATAGCTGTTGAACTGTAAAATGTAATTTGGACCAAAAACTCGTCAATTATGAACTAAAATGAGGGATCTTGTCACTCCAAATCACCAACTTTTCCTATCAACTGACCAGGCTTGCCAGCTCTTGTTTTTTTTTTTTAGCATGAGTTTTTATATTTGGTTCTGAAAGCCTCAGCTCCTGGAGTTGGGTGATTATTGCAGTTTGGTGTATGTTTTTTTTAAAGCAGCTTCTAGCTCATGGTTGCAAAGAAGTTTGAAATCATGAACTTTAAAGGCTCAAACAAGGCAAATAAAAATCCCAAATTTATTCAGTTAAAATCTCACTGGGAGGGGTAGCCTAACCATGACTTCTGAATGCTCGGAGTTAGCAATAGTAGGGCTCTTGTCTTAGAAGGTTTTATCAATACATCATGCAGAGTCTGACATTATCTGGAGACTAAAGAACACTTCACTCCTGATTCTTTTCAGAAACTCCTGCACAGGAGTAGGTGACAAAGTAAGTCCCTGGTAGCGAATGCTGCTAGGCTAGCACCTGTGTAGAATGTGTTGGGGCAGTGGGGTGTCTCCAAACTACTGCTGTCAATAGCCAGAGCACACAAACCCAACATAATAGCAGGAGTCACCTGAAACAGCACGAAACAGCATTTCATACCCTATACAGCTCCAGAACTACTGTTTGAGCCAAACTTCTGGAAACAGCCTCTTAAAGGTTTCAGCTCTGCTGGATTCACACTGATGCCAGCAGCCTGAGCATACTTCAAGTCACTGTTCTCTGCTTTCTTGATGCTACTTTCCCCTCCCCCCCCAACTTCGGTCCCAGGCAAGCCACACACTTCTGCTCTAGGACCAGCCCTCTAAGGGAGATTTGCACAAGAGATACTTCTCATAACTGGGCTACAAAAGCTGCTCCTCTACTGTAGCATCACTCTGCTTCTGCCAGCTCTTCCAAAACTGGAGCCCCAAAGAACCACTTTCAGGGCCTTTCACTACAAACTAATTTCATCACTTTTTCCACCACTTTATCTCTGGAAGCCTGAATTCAGTCACCAACTAGTTAACTTTGGTGTCACAACTTGCTTGTTCTCATGTGTACTACCTGCATCTATCTCTTTGACCCCTGCCACTCTTTATCCTTCCCTAGTGCACATCTTTCCCCACAACCACTTTCCTACCCTGTGTCTTCCTAACAACCTGTGGTTCTTGCACACTATCCAGCCTCCTTTATTCCAATCACTCCAGTTCCATCAGAATAAAACAACCCAAAGTAAAAGCTTTCACTCTTTAAGAAAAGTTAAAATGCAGAACCATCATGGCCTGCGTCTATAACAAACGGAAGCAACCACATGATCTTATCACTGTAATCTTTTTCTTGGCTTCTACCTCCCAATAAATATTGTTGCCCTTCCACTTTAATAGCAAGTTCCTCCAGGAAGGGACTGCATCTTATGTTTGCAAGGCAACTGCACCCTTGTTGTGCTGTGTAAATAACACATGGGGTGTGTGTGTCCCCAAGGTGAAGTAGGAAGAATCCTTCATATGGAAGGGGAGTAGGGTAGTGGGCGAGAGGATGTGTGGGCCAGGGTAGGGATGAGAGGGTCTGCCCCTCACAGCTTGCATTGACACTGCAGCGCCACCCCTGCAGGCAATTGTAGTGTGGGGGTTTAGTCAGGGCATGCCATCTAATCTTACTCAGAGCAGGTCTAGAGGACACAGTGACTAAAAACATGGGTGGCAGCCCATGCCTTGTATACACAAGTCACACGATCACTGGCCCTGCCTGGTGGCTGTTCACTTAAGGGAGAATTCCCCCAAAAGTCTAGTGTACACAAGACCACAGTGTGGAGGTTATTGCTAAGGAGGATTTCAAGGCTGGTGGGTAACTAATGAGTTTGCTGGATAGGGATGTCCTGCCTTTTGCTACGAAAAAAGCAAATGTGCTACTCCTGGCGGGATAGAGGGACAGCACATCATTGGGATGTGCTTCTGGGACCGCTCTGGGATGGGGTGTGGGAAGGAGGTAGATGGGTAGGACAGTGTGGGGAGGGGGGAACGAGGGGAGCTTGCTCTTGGTGGGCTGGAGCAGCCACTCACAGAGGGGTTGAGGAGTAGTTGTCCTTGGTGGGAGGGTGCTGGGGTGGAGCGACCCTAGGGACGGGGGGAGCTGACCCTCATGGGACGGGGCTGTGGGTGGTGGAGCAGCCTTGGGAGGGAGATGTGGCAGGGAGCTGCTCCCGGTGGGACGGGGCTAGGGGTGCTGGGTCAGCTCTGAGGCGGTATTGGGATGAGGGGGAGGCAGCCCCCGGGGGGGGGTGCTGCCCCGCCGATGGGCGCTGCCCCGCGCGGGGAGGGTGTCCCTGGGAGCGCTGCGCTGCCCCTGTCAGGGGTCTCTGGGCCCGGGAGGGGCCCCCTGCGCCAGCCCCGCGGGGGTGAGGGTGACAGCGCCGCGGGACCTGGGCCGTTCCAGGGCCTCGCCTCGCCCCACCCCGGGGGGCTGCCGGACCCCGAATACAGCAGGTACCTACCTCCCGGGGGTGGGAACGGGCCGGAACACCGTCCCGGAAGCGAAACCCCCCGAGCGGGCCGCACCCCGGAAGAAAATTCCTCCCCCCTCTCCCAGTTCGTATCCCCCCGCCCCCCGGTGCCCCGGTAAGGAGCGGCCGCACGTCATGTGACCACGCCCATTGGAATGCGGCCGCCATGGCTCTTTGGGGGTGGAGACTGGCTTCCGTCATCGTCATTGCTCTGCGGGTAGGTCCTATGAGAATAGTTTGGCGGGGACCATGATTGCCGCTGCACTGTCACGTGACAGCGTTTCGAGGCGGACATATATACCGGTGGCACCGCCTCCTTCTTCCCTTTTGCTGAGCCGGTGCGTGCGGTACAGTGGCCTGGCGGCTGGGTGAGTATCGCGCGCCTTTAGGCCTCTCTGGCGGCTCCATGCTGCTCAGTGCCGACCCCATCGCGGTCCCGACGCGCTGTGGCCCCCCTCTCGGAGGGGCTTTGCCGCCGATGGGTGCGGGCTGAGGAGGATGGAGGTGGATTGTCCACTTCCCCCCCCCCCCCGTGTGTGGGGGCTCCTGCTCCTCGCGGGGCGCGAAGCTTAGGTGGCTTCATTGATGTTAATGGGGGACTCGTGACCCGTGAGCTCTGGCCAGGCCGGCGCACCACAGGGCCCCTCCCGTCAGCCTAGCGGCCTCGCTGAAGGAGAAACGTTGCATACTGAGGATTTAGTGCCCTTGCGCTTTTCTAAGTTGGCGTAGGGGTGGCTTTGGTAGGCGCCGACTTTGTGGGCCTCAGAGGCCCTGCATTGTAGGGTTTTGGATTGGACTATGGGGTTGCACGTGGTGCAGTGCTAGGCGAGTTGGACTCTGCCCTTAGCATCTCCGGTCTGGGAGGGTCTTCAGCAGAGCATCAAGTGACTGTAGTGTAGTGGTTTTCTATGGAAGCTCATAGTAGATTAACAGATCTTGCCATAGCTTGGGTGTCCATTGGTAGCTTCTCAATAGGAAGTAGCTTGAGGAGGGATTGGTCTTTCTTTCACCATATAGGCTGGAGGTGGAGATAGAACTGGAAAAATGTAGCATCAGTGTAGTTGGAAGGTGTAAATGCTCTTGGAGTAAGTTGGAAAGAATATATGAACGTTGCATGAGAACACGTGGTGGAAAGTGTTGAATCTTTCCTAGTGTAATGCTATCTGCAGTAGTAGGAGAGCAAGCAGGTCTTTGTACAAGCATGGTTTTTCCTTAGTAATAGTTACCAGGTCCCAGATTTCCTTTTTTTAATGGGATAGTGTCATGTCTCAGTGCATCTTGGCCTCCATGTACGTGCACATGATGAAAACCATGTTGGTAGGGACATCTGAGAGTATGATGAATACCAACATCTCTGAGCTGGACATGGGGTATATTCATTGCTGGGCAATGGCATAAATAATTTGGAGGTAGTATGTTCTAGTCCAGTTTAGACAGGCAAAATCAAATTTTATTTGTGATTGCCTGAGTGTAACTAGGTGCCTCTATAAAGTTATAATTGCATTGTAGAAGGAATGGTGGGTAATCATTAATGTCCCACTTGGGGGGAGGGGAGGCTGTATTTTTTTATTGCAAAAAAAATTATCTCCTTGGCATTAACTGGCCCTTTTAATAGTCTGAGATCTAACAATAGTGCCTACAGAACAGGTTGAAGTGAATTTGTATGTGCTGTAGCTGTTCTGGAATAAGTGCTTTGGAGTCGTATTAGTCTTGCACTTTTTGTCAGTCTGAAAAATGTATGCCAGGCTATCTAGGTAGGCTTTTTTCTGAAACTGAGGAAATTATGTAACATATACATTATATCTTCTGTTTTTAGCCATGATACATCAAGCAAGTTCTTCCCTCGCTGGTAATTACAAAACTGGTAGGTACTGCTTTCTAACAGTAGGGTTTAATTGGCGAAAGGGTACTAGTACAGATCCACTTGAAAATGTCTGGCTTGACTATTTTCAAGAAATCTAGAGTGCCTGCTGACCTCCCAGGAGGAGCAGGGCCAGTGTTGCTCCATGAATCTTCCAGTAGCTGTTTATTTAGCACGTTGCTCTTAATTGGCCATCTTCTATGGCTGCATGGGCAACAGGACAATCACTTCAGATAGGCCTATAACAAAAGGTTTTGAAGTGAAAGACTGTGCTATTAAACTGAACAGCCAATGATGCTTTAAAGATAAGAGTAGTGGACAGAAGTGATTTCTGAGAACTCTATTCTGAGGCTTTATTCAGTGCCTGTTATCTTTGATCTCAGACTTTGTTTTAGCAATGCCTGATTTGGTTTCTTTGTTTCTTTCCTTAGCAGACCGAGACCTGATGTCACTTGCTAAGGTAAAATCATTTTTTAATTTTTTGCCTCATGAATGAGGGACAAAGTTAGTTAAAGATATGTAAATTACGGTCTAGAGGCCTTATTTTTTTAATCCGATCAGTACGCTAGCTAAATATTTCCAGTAGCTAAATACCAGACTTTCCCCTTGTGCCACAATGATGACACTTATTTGCTACTCTTGACAAGAGAATGATGAGAGCTCTCAACCACCTGTATTTCAAACTGAGGCACAACACTGTTGGGAACAGTTTCATCTATTGATGTCTGAACCTGTTTCATAACTCTTCTCTCTTTTCTCAGATTTTAATGGAGGAAGTTGGAAGCCCCATAGAAGGAAGATTCTCTGGTAAGAAACAGAATAACTCCTCTTGGAAAAACATCTCCATGGCCCATTAATGAGTTTCTCCTTCATGGAGCTGAGGCAGTGCAATGACAAGGATGGTTATGGAAGATGTTTAGAGTTCTGTGTCTGCTTAATAAATCAGAACAATTCTAACTCTTGCTATTACTCAGTTTTTCTTGGATTGTCTTCTCCGGTTGAGTAGCTCTCTCTGGAGCATCTTTTCATTCAGAGCCACTCCTGCCTTTTGGTAGATCACACTAACTAAACCAAACTCTTTATTAGAAAAATAGCTTAGAACCAGTCTCACCAAAGCCAATACAGTGATGACAACATAGTTCAGCAGAATGCACAGTGACGAACACAAGCTTTGTCTTTCGCTCCTATCTGATGTATCTGGCTATCATGTGATCCTCCCCGATACGTATTAGTTAACGGTAATGGTGCCTAATTTTTTCCCTTTCTCTTCATATAGGCCTGAAACATGAATCCTGATGATGAAAGGTAAGTCATTAATTTTGACCTGGGCAGGTTGTTCCTCTGGCAAAAACTGCTGATTAAAAGTGATATTTGGCTAGTAAATAGTGTCTAGGGAAGAAATCCACTCTAAAGAAGTGGCTTATTTTTGGGTTGCCCAAGTCTTTCATGCACCTCAGACAAATTTAGAAGTAAACTAGGAAGTAACTTGACTTGCTCTGTATTTTCAACTGCCGTTCTCTCTTCTCTCCAGTGGAGGCTGTATATGATAATAACCTAGTTCAGCAGATGGTCTGTGAAGAGCATGCTGTACTGTCTCTTCATCCTATCTGATGCATCCTCCAGTTGCTTGTGATTTACTCTGGCAGCTAGTTCACAAGGAAAGCTCAGGTCATAAATGTGCTCTCCCTTTGTCTACCGAAAAGTGTTCTGAAGACTGGCTGGCTTACGGCAAAATTTCTTTTTTGCTAGTCTTCTCTAGTAACTGGATTAGAGAGAAACTCTCAAAAGGGGGAGAGTCAGTTCCCACAAATGAACCTAGAAAAGGTGAAGCACAGACTATATTAGGGATAACTTGGTGTAGAACTTATTTTTGTGCTTGGATACTATTGATACTAAAACACATTAGATCAAATAGCTTGGTTTAATAGACTTAAGTCAATGGATGTGCAGTAGCTTTACAGGAAATGCTATGTAAAGCCACGTCTCCAGTCTGTTTTGCCCATTAAACTAGAACAGTTAGCATAGTAACATTACAAATCCATCTAAGCACTTCAAGATAAGACACTTAAGTAGGTCTACACTATAGCGTGTTCTACGTTGGTAGAAAAATCTTTTGTAGATTACCACCACTTCTGAGGTGGATTAAGTTGACAATCTTTTTGTAAATCTAGCTGCATCTGCGCTGGGAGTTAGGTCTACTTAATTTCACAGCCCTGAGTGATGTAGTTACGTTGACCTCTGTTTTAGGTGTAGACCCAGCCTAAATGTCTAACATGCTGGTACCCTGCTGACCGTATTGTTTTTGTGGTCATCCCCCTCACACCCCAGGTCTGTCTTCCATCTGTTCTTTTTTGTGTGTGTGTGGTGGTTGTTTTTTTTTATTATTATTTTATTTTATTTTATTCTTACATTGTTAGTTCTTTGGGGCAGAGACAGTCTTTGTTCTGCACAGAGCCTTGCAGAAAATTGGTCTTTGTCCATGATTGCTCCTAAGTGCTTCAGTAATAAAAATAATAATAAATAACTAGTGGTATGGGTACCATAAATATCTCTTCTTTACAGGCTGCGTAAAATAGATTGGCTTCGGATGACCACCTGCCTGATGTATGGAGATAAAAATTCCAACTTGAACACAGTTCCATAATGTTTGCAGGGAGAGTAAAGCACAGGACACTTCATACAAAGGTAACTTTGGAGGACATACTTCTAGTGTAAATGAATATTTCACACTGTCCTGCAGTCATCTATTAAATCTGCTTTACTCTTGCTTCTGTCCTATTGATTGAGTTTGAATGTTGGCAGTAGGAAACCTCAGAGCTTTCAAAGTGAAGCCAGGAAGGGGTAAATATATGGGACAAACAAGAAATGTAGTATGTAAGGTTGAGCTAATAGCATCTGATCCTATTAGACAATTTTCACTAGGATTCTTCAAATGTGTGCAATGAATATTCTTATAGTATTAAACCTGCTCTATGGGGGGCAGAAATCCTAAGACTGAACCATGACTTGGAGTACTGGGTTTAATTCTTGGCTTTGCCACACACTCCTTCAGTATTGGGTAATTTGCTTCATCTCCCAATGCCTTGTTTCTCCATTTTATGGATGGGGAATAACTTTCTCTGGCCTGTCTGAAAATGTAAGCAGTTCAGAACAGGGACTGTCTATGGTGCCTAGACAATCCCTGGTAGGTTAATGTTTTTAGAAAGCAGATTTGCATTGTACAGTCATACGGTATACAAATCTCCTTTACATTGCAGCAGGTGTTGCTTTAGGGGAAGTGGCCACACTAGTATTTTAATTTGGCAACTAGGTTTAATTAGATTGCCAAATGCAGAGTACTTTTTTTTTCCAAGCCCTAACTATTTTTTATCCTGCATGTAACAACATTAAAAGTTTAATATGCTATTGACTTATTGTGGGAACGGTGTGGTTTTTAAAATTTCTGTCCATAAGACTGAGGTGGCACTGGCAGATGCAAGAAGCTGTTAAGTTAGTCAGGGTTTGCTCCAGAGGGAGCCCTGTCCATCTTTATTTGGGTGGTGGGCTGATGTCATCTAGGCCTCCAGACTTGTCGTCTTCACTGAAGAGTTAACTTAGGGGCCACACCTGAGTTAGACTGTAACTGTTCACTGGCCAGCTAATGCCCGAGTGCTGCTTATCTCCTTGCTTTGCAGTCAAGACTCAGCTAAATCAGCTGAGTGCTGATAACCATCCAGTGCCTTTCCATAATTTCTACCCTGTGTGCTCAGGACAGGCAAGTTCTCAGACAGCTCACAGTGAGCATATCATAGAGCCATGGGATATGCACCCAAAAGTCCTAGCAACACACAAGTGGATGCAGCACCAGTGTGGACCAGTAACTCAGATATGGCTTTGCAGTGTGGCTGCTTGCACCCAGGCTAAGCCGACTTGGGTGCTCAGACCCAACTGGTGATCACCTGACTTACTTAATCAGTGAGGAGACGTACCCAGGAAGGGGGCAGTAAAATAAAGAGCTTCTAATAGGATTGGTGCAGGATTCTTAGGCAAGTGCCCATCTCCTAGGTTAGAGAAGAGGATGTCATGTGTAACGGAAAACAGCTGTCTGTGTACTGTAGATGATGATGAATCAGGTCTCTGATCCTAATGAGGATAAAATTGACTAAACACTGATACAGTTGTATAATAATTAAATACTATAGACGCTTATTATGAGCTCCAGCTAATACCAGCTTTCTCTTGCAGGCTTCCAGAGGTGCTTGGGTATCCTGTAAGTTCTGTATTTTTAACTTCATGGGAATACTAGAGTTAACTAGAGGTGGGAAAGGGATGGGGCTAGAGTATGCCTCTAAAATAAGGTTGTAGCTATAATCAGAGGATCTGTTAAAGTATATAGAAATATCAATGCTGGTTGCTTATTGCACATCATATCCTAAAATAGAGGGATGGGGGGGCGAACTGGCAGAGGGCCCAACACTAACAACTTACCTAGTATCAGAGGGGTAGTCTTGTTGATCTGGTTCTGTAAAAAGCAACAGAGTCCTGTGGGACCTTTAAGACTAACAGATGTATTGGAGCATAAGCTATCATGGGTGAATACCCACTTCGTCAGACGCCCGAAGTGGGTATTCGCCCACGAAAGCTTATGCTCCAATACATCTGTTAGTCTTAAAGGTCCCACAGGACTCTCTGTTGCAACTTGCCTAGTGTAGCAAACATGTACAGCTCCCATTGACACGAGAGAACCATTTCTCATCTGATACTCCACCACAGCCTATCCCCACCACACAGGTTTTAGTTAAAAACTGTTTGTTGCCCAGTCCATACAAGCAGCCTGTATGATGAGATGCAAATAGACTGACTCAATCATGGAGGTCTGTAATTAGCTCTATCTGATTTCAGGCATCTGGCTTGGATTTTCCTGTTTCATGGTTGATGGTCTCTGGGTTGTCCTGACACTCTGCTTCATTCCAGGACTGGGGTGACTTGGACGTACAGAGTGCCGTTATTAGCAGTGGTAAGTCATCAGTCTGCTAGTTTTGTTTTGGTTTTAACTTGGCTATTGACATAATGTAATAAATAGTTTGGTTCCCTGCTACAGTCTGGTGTCCAGGTGCTGGCATCTAAGGGTCTTATGCATTATGGTGGAAATCATACTAAAGTTTGTTAATGTAGAATTCCTGTGAGGTTTCCTGGCTTGTCCTTTTCCTTTTTCTGCCACAAGATTTCAGGTACTGTTAGCCTGCAGGGCTCACTTAAGGATAATCCAAGGTAGTGCTTCACCAGAGACTTCATGCTTTGTTTTGAGACCTGTGGATAAACAGCCACAGTGGATTTTGAAGACTTGTGTTCTAGGGAATCGTGGAATGTTGTAGGCTAATCTACATAGCAGCTGTCTCCTACAGGGTTTATAATGATGTTGACAAATGTCTGACCTGAAATCAGTATGTGGACTACTTCATTACTGAAAGACCCTGTAAATGAAGTAATACAGAAATGAAGACACACTGTTTAACTTTATGCAGAATTGCTTCTTTTTTACTCCTGGAGAGCTGTCAACAAGAAACTAATGCTCTCACTTCTGCTTGTTAGGTCCTGGCCCGGTCTTGAATAAATTTGGGTGAGTATGTATTTTTGTTTAGACTAATAAGTTGTTAACTTGTAGCTAGTAGGAGCATTGTTGTAACCAGTGATGAAATTAGATTCTGCCAAATGAATGTCCGTGATATTACTCCTTTCCGTTCCATTTACTCTGAGGTTACATTCTTGCTCCGCCAAAGTTAGAAATGGGAAAGGCAGTGTGTCTTCTAAACATAGACTGGCCCAGAAGCTTGGAGTGGAAGGGATTTTAAAAATTTACTGAATACATGGAGCGTATTGTGGCTTCTCAACTGTTAGAATACTTTAACTTGTCCCTTTTGCTCTAAAGGTTACCAGTTTAAATGACACTTATGTCTGGATGAACACCTCAGATGATGGGATCTGAAACCTCTACTGCTTAGGATGGGCCAAGGAATGATCTGTTCACCCCCTTAAATGATTAAATTAACAAAGCTTTTAAAAAGCTGGTTCATACTTCACTTGATCACTTCTGCTAGTCTTCCACACCGTAGATCAAGGAAATCTAGTTGAGCAGGTTATAGTCTAGCTAGTTTGGGTTACTAATTCATGTTATAGTACACTTTTTTTAAAAACAACTTTCTTTCCCCCCATAAGCATTAATATTAGAAGATGATGGATGATCAAGACAGCATTTCAAGTGAGAGGTTTGTATCTTATTCTGTTCCTTTGTGGGTTATATGTGGCAAAACCAGCTGGGTTTTAATCCTGTAAAAGTAACTGCATTGTGTGATGGAACCAACCTTTCATTGTTGTGGTTGTATGAAGCTCAGTGGCTTCACTTAAATACTATAGTTTTAAACGCTGGTCCTAGATACAGACGTGTACTACTGTAAAACACTAACACTTTCAAGAATGCGGAGATGTGTGGTAGGTGCGCCTCTAAATTAAGGAGCAAGCCCTTGTTCCAGGTGTAAGATACTGGGGCTTTCAAAAAAAACCTCAGTTTTAGCCCAGCACTGTTCTCACGATAGTCAGTGGGGGGGAAAACTCCCATTAACTTAAATGAGCGCAGAGGGGGGTCCAACACAGAGCACTCACGAAAAATGTTAATAGGCTTGTAAGGTGGGATGTACCCATCTTGAGATGCTCCTAAATTTTCTTCTGTTTTGAATATGCCTCCTGCATCCACTTTAACACTTTGATATCACAGAAGCAACATGGGAGTAACTTACAAAAAGCTTAAATTCCTACTATAGCACTTTGGGTCACTCTGCAAAATGATGATGGGAATTCTTGCAGCAGAATATTTCATGGGATGAAATGATTAAAACTGGGTAGTACACATCTGTGCAGAACCTTGGGCTCCTGGGCCCTAGCCACTGGACCACAGTGATGACTCCTTGTCTGCAAGAGTCACATAGGTACAAATTCACAAACACTGATATTGGTGTCTGGTTAGTACAAGGCTATTCCTCCAGTACCTGCAAAATGTAAATGTTCAGAGGATTCCAGCAGTGAAACCAGACTGAGTCGATTCACCGCACTTGGAATCCACATTAAAATCTACTAGCTGCATATCTAGGATGCCTCCCTTGCAGCTATATGATAGAGGTTCCCTTCCCCCGTGCTTTCCTTTACAACTGAACAAACAGTGACAGTTGGCTTGGGGCTAGAATTGAAGCCTGTGATGACTTGGATTATAAGAGTAGTGGACAGAACAGGTTTCTGAAAACTTCACTCTGAGGCTTTGAAACTAGTAGTATGTCTGCAGGCAGAGCAAAGAATGACATGTAACATTTGAATTTATTTTTTCCCCTCCAGGGCTGGAGTGCACTCCTGGAAAAAGGATCACTTTGCTGAGGTAACTCTTCACTTGAACTTGGAGTAGAGTCTCTGCTCTGGTTCTCTGGCTGACAGGGGAAGCACACACTATGCTAGATATGTGCATTGAATAAAGTGTTTGCAGCCATTATGAGCTGCTCTGCTTTCCAGAGTTAGCTCTGGACAGTTGCCAGAAGCTGGGAATTGGTGACTGCAGATGGATCACTTGATTATCTGTTCTGTTCATTCCCTCTGAAGCACCTGCCATTGGGCACTGTCGGAAAACAGGATATTGGGCTAGATCACTAGTTCTCTAACTTTTGAATTGGTGACCCCTTTCACACACAAGCCTGAGTGCAAACCCCCTCCCCCCCCATAAGTTAAAAACACATGTTCAAATATTTAACACTATTATAAATGCTGGAGGCAAAGCAGGGTTTGGGGGTGGAGGCTGACGGCTCACAACCTCTCATGTAACAACCTCATGACCTCACCCCCAGTTTGAGAACCCTGGGGCTAGATGCACCTTTGGTCTGACCCAATATGGCTGTTATGTAAATTCTAAAGCCACACAGCTCTCTGCACAGACCCAAAGCCATAGTGGACAGAAGATGTTTCTAAGAATGTAGGGCTGAGGCTTTGCTGCTTATAGATGTCTGTAATATAAGCAACAGAGAGTCCTGTGGCACCTTTAAGACTAACCGATGTATTGGAGCATAAGCTTTCGTGGGTGAATACCCACTTTGTCGGATGCACGAAATGGGCATTAAGCCACGAAAACTTATGCTCCAATGCATCGGTTAGTCTTAAAGGTGCCACAGGACCCTCTGTTGCTTTTTACAGATCCAGACTTAACACGGCTACCCCTCTGATACTTGTAATATAGGTGTGGTCATTTTTAGTCATGAGAATAGAAGAATTACCAGACATGACTCGATATGGTAAGTTGGCTGTTGCATTTATCTGACATGTAATTATGAAAATGATATCCTAAGATTCCTCTTCTGCGTCAGTTTTATGAAACATCCACTTTTACAATTGACCAACCTCACTGCTAGTTCATCACCAATTCTAAAAAGCAGAGACATTCCCAGAAAGTCACACCCAACCCAACAGCATTCTCAATCTCCTATATGGTTTGACCTAATATTTTGTTTTTATATGCTAGCTGTCTCAGTGGCAGGTTGGAATTAGGGTTGTGTACTGCAGTATGACTTTCACTCTCTATACTGAGGGTGAGATAGTACTGTTTAGCTCCAGCAGCATTGAATAAAACTGTTCCACTGCGGACTATAAAGTATATTGGTGAAATGCTGACTTCCTGTCTGTATGTACTGTTAATGATGATTTTGGTGTAAACAATGGGAATCTCTCTGAAAGAGAATGAGGAGGACTCTGATGCTGAAACAGTACAGAACTTCAAGCTGTCTCTACTAAGAATCAGATTCTACCAACCAGAACCTGTTTGTAAAAATTGAATTATTATGTTACAGAGTAAAGTTGGTCAAACAGTCAGTGAAGCAGTCAGCCCTCTGCCTGCCTGAGAGGTAAGGATAAAGCAAAGTACTGGGAGCTTATTTTAAAGATCAATGACGCTTGAGGCTTAGATTTTTGGAATCTCTTCTTGGGGGTCCACTGGACTGTCAGTTCAGATTAGTGAGGACTGTGACTGTTTTGCATATACTTGGCCATATCTGCCAGCTCCCATGACACTCTTCCTTGTGTTAGTCCTGCAGTTGCTGTTCAGCAATGGGGATGTCAGGAGAATTCTTCTGACTCTCTCCTACAGCAGAAATGTTCAATTAATTCTTTATGCAAAATCATTCTTAGAAAACAGCTCGACTTCCATGGCTGACGATTAGAAGGACAGTGTCTGTCTTGCTTCCATTAAAGCTAATTGGGAGCAGGATTGGGCCTCTTCTACTGGTAACTGTAATATAGTCTGATCACTGCAGTCAAACAAAGCTAGAAGCCCATCTTAGTCACATTCTACCTTAGGGTAACTCTGAATCAAAGAGCTGCTTTAAAGCCACCACATCTTAGTCTGTCACTAACTTTTCATGCTCCCACTTTGTAGGAGCGGGATGACAGCCTGAAACTAAACACCCCAGTGAATGAAAGTGCTATTAAGCCGATACAATGATGATAACATAGTTCAGCAGAATACACAATGACGAACACAGCTTTGTCTTTCGCTCCTATCTGATGTATCTGGCTACAGCTGAATCCTGACACTAAAGAGCTCTTGTGGTCTTAAAAGTAACTACATGAAAATAGCACCTTTGTATTCCACATTATCTGCTCCTTGGGGGCAATTTAGTATGTCCACTTGAAGTCTAACTTGCCCATGGGTTGTTGAGGGCAGAATTCTATAACCAGGGGCAGTGGCTGGGCCTGCAGAACCTCTATGGGGTGTGTGTAAGGAGAACCTTTTTATAAAGGACATACCCTGGTGTTGAGCCTTGTAGGTCCAGTCAAACACTGACATGATATAAAAATACACGTGGCTTTGCTCAGGAAGGTTCCTTTGCAAAACTAAGATCCAGTTGTACAGATTTGCTAGCAGTTAAGCTCATGAGACTGGTGCACTTGCACTTTTACAGTGCAGGTTCCAAAATGCAGATGGGAAAGGGCACTTGTAACTACTGATGAAATTTAGATTCTGCCAAATGAGTTCCAGTGCTGTAAACCATTTCCACTCCTGCTGAGGTGCTACTCATGGGAGAACTATTAATTAATGTCCATTTCCCTTCTCTTTAGGGAGCAAAATTGGTTTGAATGGACAGTTGAGGAACCAGAAAGGTGGGTATCATTTTACTTGCATTGCTTCAACACTTAACAGTGACCTGCTGCTTTGATCCCTTTTCTGGAATGGAGAGATGATGATTACAGTCTTAGCTTGAACTCTCTCTCTGATGAGTGATGGAAAATCTAAGGTCTGATCTATTCCTATCAATAAACATCTTGTGCTTTAGAGTTCAGTGCTTCACCCTATAACAGTTTTTGTCTCTCTCCTTGCAGTGTGAAGATGTCAGATTGTGTATCCAACGACTCCTAAGTTGGCTTGTGTGTTGTGTGGTTTTTTTTTTTTTTTCTGCACAGAAGACAGTGCCCTTGCTTCTGAGGTGTTTGGGCATAGTCATGGAGGGGCCAGAGTCAATCCTGCAGCAGTGGGTGTGTCAAGCTGGAGGGAAGCAGTCTCTCTGCCACCCCATTCAGTTTGGCCTGGAGTCCTTGCTCCGCAGTCCTGCCTGCACTCAGAGCCCACCAAGGCCTTTTAAGGGGCTTGCAAGGGTGTTGAAAGGACAGATGGGGCAGCAGTGCTTGCTGTGTTCTACCCTTGCCACAAAAGGTGACATGACTTCTGGATGAAGAGTCCTACAAATTTGTCAGAAAAGATTAAGTTCAGAATGTCTTGTAGAAGCATGTGACAAGTGGGGCAACACTGATACACACTTTGGTCTCTTCTTAAATATCCAATTAAGAAACTAGACTTGCTCTAAACTTAAACTTTTGCCATGTGTCTTTTAACCAGCACTAAGTAGGCTTTAGAAGTAAAATAGCTGTCTAACACATTGAAATGTGCTAAAATAAACTCATCAAAAATAACTAGTCTGGAGTAGTTGTGTATTATGTATGAGTTCAAAGTCTCAGGGTATGTCTACACTATGAAATCAGGTTGATTTTATAGAAGTCAATTTTTACACAATCGCCTGTATAAAACTGATTTCTAGGTCTACACTAAGTGCATTAAGTTGGTGGAGTGCATCCTCAGTACTGTGGCTAGCATTGATTTATGGCGCAGTGCACTGTGGGTAGCTATCCCACAGTTCCTGCAGTCTCTGCTGCCCATTGGAATTCTGGGTTAAGCTCCCAGTGCCTAATGGTGCAAAAACATTGCTGTGGGTGGTTTGTCAACCCACCCTCTGTGAAAGCACTGGCAGACAATCATTTTGTGCCTGACACCAGGGAGGCTTTGAAAACCAGTTTCATGACTGTCCAGGCTTTGTGACAGTTGTGTGTTTCTCCTTGATGCAAACCCACACCCTTTGTTGATTTTAATTCCCTGTAAGCCACTCCCCTCCCCCTTTGAAATAAAGTAACTGCATGGTTTCAAAAAACAATAGACAAGATAGCCTGGGGAGGAGGGAAGGACAAGGCCACATTGTTTATTGTAATCACACTAAAAATCAAACTTTTTGAATGACAGCTTTCTGTTGCTTGGCCCATCCTCTCCAGTGGAGTGCCTGGAGCCTCCCCCACTGCATTCTTGGGCATCTGGGTGAGGAGGCTATGGAACATGGGGAGAAGGGTAGATGGTTATACAATGGATGCAGCAGGGGCCTGTGCTCTTGTTGGCTTTACTTCAGCACCAACAGATGCTTTGCTCCTCCATTAATCTCAGCATTGTCCCCTGCCTCCACTCTTCTTCTTGGTCTCTACCACTGAATGCCTACATGCATTAAGCTGTGCCCATCCAGCTGGGAGGACTGTATGAGCTTGGAAAACATGTCCTAGTGTGTGGGTTTTTTGCCTTTTAATCTGTGATAACCTTAGGGACAGAGATGATAGGGGGAGTGTAGAAATATTCTATGCTCTACAATTCTGGGGGGACTGCATTGTCATCTGTGCTGCTGAGTTTGCCATGCTGGCCAAACAGGAAACAAAATTTAAAAAGTTCCTGGGGCTTTTCCTGTGTACCTGGCTAGTGCATTGGAGTTCAAAGTGCTGTCCAGAGTGGTCACAATGGAACAATCTGGGATAGTGCCCAGAGGCCAGTACAATTTGACCAAGCCAAGCTGATTTTAGCCCTACTCCCCTTGCTGGGGAAGAGTACAGAAGTCAATTTTCAGAGCCCTTTAGGTTGACAGAACAGGGTTGGTTGTGTGGATGTAGTCATTTTTTAAATTGACCTAACATGGCTAAATTTGATGCTCTAGTGTAGAACAGGTTTCAGGGGGGGGGTTCCTTAAAATAGAATGTACCCTGAATGTAAAACAGTTCTGGGTATAACCCTGTAGACTCCCTGCTACTAGTCTGGAACTGATGTGAATGTAGACAGCCTATACAACTTAGTACAGCACTTTGAATACTGAAGGAAAAAACCTGAAAAGGAAACAGGCTTTATGCTGCTTTAAACACTTAGATCCTGCACTAAAGTTTCTCAGACTCAAGCAATAGTCCTAGCACCACTGAGTAGAAATACCCTTCTCATCTAACTGAACCTGAGGTGATTTATGAGAGGAATTGATATTTCTATTCATATCCCACCCTTAGTGAGGAAAAGCAGTAGATCTGAATTAAGTTAAGATTGCCTGTGGCCTAAAGCAAAACTTGAAGTGATTATACTTAATGTAGGCAAATGGACTTGGTTGAAGCGCTCCTTAGCATAGACCTCTGTACAATACCTAGCACAATAGCGCCCTGATCTGGGGACTCCAGCTGCTGCTATAATATTGATCAAGTCTCTAGCCAAGGTCCCCTGGCTGCTGCAAATTGACAGTCCTCAAGGGTGAAGCTGAACAACAGGCCTCCACAACTCATAAAGCAGCAAGGGCCAGATTACTCTAAAGAAAACAGCTGAGGGTCAAACCCCACCCAGCCCCCCTGAAACACCCAGCCCCACCCCATGGAAACAACACCCCCAGTACTGCCCAGCCCCCTGAAACACCCCCCTGCCCCACAGAAACAAACCCTCCTTCCCTCATGCCACCCTGCCAAAACAGCAGTATTGAATCTTGGTAATATGTTACAGTGGGCCCCTCAGGTAGTATAATTAAAGGTAAAAGAAAACTCTTTTTGCTAGAAGTAGAATAAGATCTTCTCCCCCACTTTGTAATCAATTGCCCTGTTCAGTGAATGAGGAAGGTGTGGAAGGCAGGCACCTCCAGACAGCTGCAACCCTGGGAGAGGGGATGGGAGCCAGACCAGATCAGTGGAACAGGTCAGCCACTGGCTCACCTGCCCCCTCACCACTGCCCGCCCGCTCACCTCAGCACTCTTTTTTCCCCCCCGGCTCACCCCTCCACCACTGCCTGCCTGCTTGTCTCCTCAGACCCCCCCCATGCCACTGCCCACCCACCTCCTCAGCCCCCATCCCTCACCCGCTGCTTGCCTACTCACCCCACACAGGCCACACAGTGAGGCCTGCTCTACAACAAGCCCTGGAAGAGATGCAGCATATCTTCAATAGAGCTTTGCCAGGCATAGGTGCTGCCACAGCCCCTAACTTGAAGTGGTTTCCATCACATAGGGGATTTACTGTTTGGTTCACAGTCTCACCACCAGAAAAATTGTTCTAGCACCCCTGTCCTCTGGTGGTTTCTGACAGCACCTGTTTACATATAAAACAGTCCAGGATCAGAAGGCATTTAATTATTTTTTGCTTCTAAATATTATTGCACAGGTTAAGTCACTCTACAAAAGCCATCCTTACTATTAAAGTACAGCAGTTTATAAAATAGTACAGTGTGTGTGGACCTTTGAATGTTATAAAGAGAAAAGGTCATTAAGAGGCTAGTGTGTAAATGAAAGATTTGGCACCTGTAAAATCTCAGTAGTTTCTTATCTGGAGTGATTAATACCATACTTTCAAGTGTAAATGAAAAACACCTGTTTTATTAAAAATCCAATATGGTTAATTGTCTTCAGGCTGAAAGGTAAGAAGTGGCACAAGCTGGTACATTTAATGCTAGCACCAGTAGCTTTCACCCACCCATTTGTGCATCCACCTGCCTGGGTCACTGCTCTGAAAATAATAGGGTTTAACAACGGCTGTCAGACAGCTCCAAACATAGGTGTCCCACTGCTGAGGACAGGATAAAACAAGCCTTGGTAGAAACAGGCAACCATAACAGTGACTACACTTGGATGAAAGTGGCATCAAATCTTATTGACAAGGCACTAGCCTTTGTCCACCACCATAGCCTTGCCTTCCCACACCATAGCAGTTGGAGCAGCAGCCTTTAGGGGATTTTTCTACCTTTTTTCAGAAGCTCCTAAATCACTTAGTCACAAATTGTACACTTTCACATCACAGCTGTTCTCTATGTTCAATGGATTTGGAGACACCTGCTACCCCTGAGAGAGCAGCAGGTCTGAACAGACTCTAAAACTGATCAAAACAGAGACAGCCTTCTGTATTTTATACTTGAAGATATGCTAAGGAGCACAGAAATTTGAGACATGGGTTTTTGAAGTCAGTGTCTGATCTATAGTCCTAAGTAAAATGGAATGGGGAAGGTCTCTGCACACTGGCTAGCACATACACAAGTCTGTATGAGTAAAGTTTCTCTTCAGTACATACAAAGTCATGGAAGCAAAAGGCACAAGCAAGGTCTATCTTCATCCAACACTCCCGTATTATTTCTTGAAATACCACACTTCATTGTGCCTATTGAAGAGCTTGAAGGGACTGTCATATCCAGCAGTATAATAGAAGTCTTCATGGAATGACTGACCCACATTCTTTAGGATTCTGGCCAGTGCCTGGGCTTCCTCAGCATACTTCTCTGGAGAGGCAAACCCACCAAAGGACCTGGGGGAGGACAATGGAGACAGGGGCTCTGGTTTGTAACACTGGCTTTGTTGGAGTTTTAACAACACAAACCTTGCAGTTAGAGATGAGCCCAAACCAACCTTCCCAATCCAAATACCCCAAGCTTTAGAGCGGGAGGATCCAAATTCTGAAATGGATTTGGCTCCTAGTAGCCCAAACCAGAACTCCAGAGCCACACCGTAGGCAGATCTGAAACCAGACCTGAAGCTGAATTTCATGGAGGGGCTTCATCTTTAAAATAGGCTGAACCAGTAGCCTGGGTCCAGACACTCCCAAACTATGAGGTGTTTGAGATCTGGCTTCATGTTCTGTTGTTAAGGCCCATGTGTAACTACTGTCAGGGATTCATCCAGCATGTGATGGTGTGATCAGGCACATCTGTGTGTATATATAATTGCCCCAGCTGACGCTTTGCAGAGAGTTGCCTGGACACACAATGCTAGCTGTTTATTGGACCAACTTCTGTTGGTGAAAGAGACAAGCTTTTGAGCATCACAAATGAAGGGAGTTAGGAACGTGGTGCTCTCTCGTGGGTTTCTCTTTCCCAGACATGGTATTGAACAGCAAAGGGTGAAACTGCAGACATCAGCCCCCTCTTCATGCTTTAATCCATCTCCTCTCCCAAAGACGAGACAGGAGGGTGCTACCTGACAAAGATGGCCTCTCCCTTCCGCTCCTCAATGAAGACATCTGGGTCTGTGGGCTGTGGTGGGGAGTCTTGATGCTCGAATGGCACAAAGAATGAGACCTTGAAGTCTGTGCAACCAGATTTCACCAGGCACGTCACCGGCACAGTCATCTCAATCTTCATCTCTGGAAGAATGAGAATAAGAAAGGTCCTGTCTCATACCAGCCACAAGCAGAGGTGGAGGGTGAATGCTACGGTGGGACCTGCAGCCACCGGGGGCAATGTCAAAGAGGGGCTTCAATACTCGGGGCAAATGCAGCAGTGTTCCTGCAGCACCACCTCCCCAGTGCAGCAGGGACTATTCCTGCCACAAGCCCTTTCACCAGGTTTGACTCAAGGATTCATACTGCTGCTCATCCCCATGGTATATGAGTACCCATCATGATGCTCTCACCCATCTGTGCTTCTCCTTACTGCCTGTGAATGCTTCCCTGGTAAGCATCTCCATTTCCTCCATGCAGCCCCTGCCTGATCCTCCCCACCTCCCATCCCACACACCCCTGGAGGGACAGACTCCCTGTCTCTTCCTTCTCTTCTCCCCCGATTCTGAAGTTCCCATTCCTCCCCCACCAGGCATAGGGCAGCTCACCCTGGATGAGGGGTAACAGCGCCAAAGGACACCCCTTTACAGACAAGAAAAATACTGATGCATTAACTCATCCAGACCAGGAAAGCATCTCTGACATTTCTAGTGTACTTCCCATCCCGCAGAGCTGCCCAAACCTTTGCTGTTCCCAGCTCAGTCTCCTTTGTGCCTGCCCACAATTAGAGAGCTGGATCCAGGGGTTTCCCAATGACTGTTCCAAATCTGGGTGACTTCATACCTTTCTCATTCTTCCCCTGAATGTAGTAGAAGAGCTTCCAGAAGCCCTGGCGCAATGCCTCCTTTTGCGTCTCTCCTTGAATTACTGTGCTAGCCCATTTGGCCGTCTCGTAGTGACGCAGCTCGTAATCTTGCACCTGAAACCGATATAAGGTTACAAGGCTTCGTGAATGTGTGGCTTTTATTTTCAGGTCAGTGAAATGTCCCTATCAGCCCCCACCTTCCTGCCAAATCACCTCCCTGGGAGTGTGCCCCTCGCAGGCCCATCTCAGCAGCCACACACTCCCACATCCTTTTCCCCAACAAGTCTCATGCCCCTAACAAGGCACCCCCCAGTTGCCAAACCTCCCACCCCCTATTGTATTTGCTCCAGCCCAATCCCCCCTCCCCACCCAAGCAGTCTCTTGCCTATGTGAGCTGCATTTACACTGGAGGATTTGCCAGGACATCTGCACCCATTAACCCTTTCTAGTATAGGCAAGACCAAAGACATTTGGCCACTGTCCTTTAGTTCAGGGCAGCTTCCTTCTTGCATGGCTTCTTCGCTGACAGAACTAATTGGTTTATATCTGCAAGGATCTACCCATCATGAACAATACCCCTCAGCTTCTGATATAGAGATCTCCCCAGCAACTAGCATTTACCGCGATCTCTGCTGAGCTCCACCTGGGTGACTGCAGCTCCAGCGACAAAAATGTCTGTTTGAAGGACTTGATCATCTCTCTTGAGCTGAAAGGCAGAAAACAGTTCATTGGCACTGAGTATCCCACAGTGCAAGGGATCAAGATTTCTTGCCTAAACTCAGGCTTCTAGAGTTGGTTTTCTCAGGCCTGCACAAAATCTCTAGCCTTTTAGTAATGCCACTAGAATGAGCACTTCCACCAAGAGTGAAGAAGGGACAGAGAGATCATAGAATCATAGAAGATTAGAGTTGGAAGAGACCTCAGGAGGTCATCTAGTCCAATCCCCTGCTCAAAGCAGGACCAACACCAACTAAATCATCCCAGCCAGGGCTTTGTCAAGCCGGGCCTTAAAAACCTTTAAGGATGGAGATTCCACCACCTCCTTAGGTAACCCATTCCAGTGCTTCACCACCCTCCTAGTGAAGTAGTTTTTCCTAATATCCAGTCTAGACCTCCCCCACTGCAACTTGAGACCATTGCTCCTTGTTCTGTCATCTGCCACCACTGAGAACAGCCGAGCTCCATCCTCTTTGGAACCCCCCTTTAGGTAGTTGAAGGTTGCTATCAAATCCCCCCTCACTCTTCTTTTCTGCAGATAAATAAGTTCAGTTCCCTCAGCCTCTCCTCATTAGTCATGTGCCCCAGCCCCCTGATCATTTTCGTTGCCCTCCGTTGGACTCTCTCCAATTTGTCCATATCCTTTCTGTAGTGGGGAGGCCCAAAACTGGATGCAATACTCCAGATGTGGCCTCACCAGTGCCGAATAGAGTCGAATAATCACTCCCCTCAATCTGCTGGCAATGCTTCTACTAGTGAAGCCCAATATGCCATTAGCCTTCTTGGCAACAAGGGCACACTGTTGGCTCATATCCAGCTTCTTGTCCACTGTAATCCCAAAGTCCTTTTCTGCAGAACTGCCGCTTAGCCAGTCAGTCCCCAGCCTGTAGCAGTGAATGGGATTCTGCACTTGTCCTTGTTGAACCTCATCAGATTTCTTGTAGCCCAATCCTCCAATTTGTCTAGGTCACTCTGGACCCTATCCCTACCCTCCAGCATATCTACCTCTCCCCCCAGTTTAGTGTCATCTCTGAATTTGCTGAGAGTGCAATCCATCCCATCATCCAGATCATTAATGAAGATGTTGAACAAAACTAGCCACGGGACCGACCCCTAGGGCACTCCACTTGATACCGGCTGCCAACTAGACATTGAGCAGTTGATCACTACCTGTTGAGCCCAACAATCTAGCCCGCTTTCTATCCACCTTATAGTCTATTCATCCAATCCATATTACTTTAACTTGCTGGCAAGAATACTGTGGAAGACCATATCAAAAGCTTTGCTAAAGTCAAGGAATATCATGTCCACTGCTTTCCCCATATCCACAAAGCCAGTTTTCTCCTCATAGAAGGCAATCAGCTTGGTCAGGCATGACTTGCCCTTGGTGAATCCATTTTGACTGTTCCTGATCACCTTCCTCTCCTCCAGGTGCTTCAAAATGGATTCCTTGAGGACCTGCTCTATGATTTTTCCAAGGACTGAGGTGAGGCTGACCGGTCTGTAGTTCCTTGGATTCTCCTTCTTCCCTTTTTTAAAGATGGGCACTATATTTGCCTTTTTCCAATCGTCTGGGACCTCCCCCAGTCACCATGAGTTTTCAAAAATAATGGCCAATGGCTCTGCAATCACATCAGCCAACTCCTTCAGCACCCTCAGATGCATTGCATCCGGCCCCATGGACTTGTGCATGTCCAGCTTTTCTAAATAGTCCTTAACCTGTTCTTTGACCACTGAGGACTGCTCATCTCCTCCCCATACTGTGCTGCAGCAGTCTGGGAGCTGACCTCGTCTGTGAAGACCAAGGCAAAAACAAAAAACAAAAAACACAACAGAGTACTTCAGCTTTTTCCACATCATCTGTCACTAGGTTGCCTCCCTCTTTCAGTAAGAGTCCCACACTTTCCCTGATCACCTTCTTGCTCCTAACATACCGGTAGAAACCCTTCTGGTTACCCTTCACATCCCTTGCTAGCTGCAACTCCAATTGTGCTTTGGCCTTCCTGATTACACCCGAGCATGCTCGAACAATATTTTTATACTGCTCCCTAGTCATCTGTCCAAGTTTCCATTTCTTGTAAGCTTCTTGTGTTTAAGCTCACCAAAGATTTCTGCTAAGCCAAGCTGATTGCCTGCCATATTTGCTATTCTTTCTACACATCAGGATGGTTTGTTCCCGAGTCCTCAATAAGGTTTTTTTAAAATACAACCAGCTCTCCTGGACTCCTTTCCCCCTCATATTAGCCTCCCAGTTCCCTGAGGGAGTCAAAGTCTGCTTTTCTGAAGTCCAACATCCGTATTCTACTGCTCTCCTTTCTTCCTTTGTCAGGAACCTAAACTTGACCAGCTCATGATCACTGCTGCCCAGGTTGCTACCCACTTCTACTTCCCCAACGAATTCTTGCCTGTTTGTGAGCAGCAGGTCAAGAGGAGCACAGCCCTTAGTTGGTTCCTCCAGCACTTGCACCAGGAAGTTGTCCCCAACACACTCCAAAAACTTCCTGAATTGTCTGTGCACTGCTGTCTTGGTCTCCCAGATGACATCAGGGTGATTGAAGTCCCCCACGAAAACCAGGGCATGTGATCTGGAAACTTCTGTTAGTTGTCCAAAGACAGCCTCATCTACCTCATCCTCCTGATCTGGCGGTCTATAGCAGACACCTACCATGACATCACCCTTGTTGCTCTCGCCTCTGAACTTTAACCCAAAGACTCTCAAACAGGTTTTTCTCCAGTTTCATACTGGAGCTCTGAGCAATCATACTGCTCTCTTACATACAGTAACTCCTCACTTAACGTTGTAGTTATGTTCCTGAAAAATGCAACTGTAAGTGAAACGATGTTAAACGAATCCAATTTTCCCATGTAAATGCGGGGGGTTAGGTTCCAAGGAAATTTTTTGCGGGCAGACAAAAGGTATTATATACTGTACAGTACTGTACTGTGGTGGGGAGGTGTCCCTGGCTTACCCATGGGGCTCAGGGCTGGGGGTGCAGGGTCTGGGAGGGAGTTAGGGTGCGGGAGGGCACTCAGGGTGGGGTGCAGGGTCTGAGAGGGAGTTAGGGTGTGGGAGGGTGCTCAGGGTGGGGGTGCAGGGTCTGGGAGGGAGTTAGGGTGTGGGAGGGCACTCAGGGTGGGGTGCAGGGGTCTGAGAGGGAGTTAGGGTGCGGGAGGGCACTCAGGGTGGGGTGCAGGGTCTGAGAGGGAGTTAGGGTGCGGGAGGGCACTCAGGGTGGGGTGCAGGGTCTGAGAGGGAGTTAGGGT